ATCCATCTCCCAGCCCCATGCAATGCCATCTACCTTAATCATCCTTATCTGAACTACCTTTCATACATAATCCCATGGTACTTGCTTATATTCTTAATCTGGACCTTTTAATGCCATTATTGGAGTCTTTCCTTCCAGCCCATGTGGTTCGTTCTCCACACTAACCCATTGTGGCATCCTTCTTCCTCCTCTCTTCTCGTCCATCATGTCCATTCTGTCCCATGATTCTCTTGAACCTGAAGCCCGAGAACCTTAGCCATGCCTATCCCATTCTGCCCTGCTGAGGTATAGGCTATTTAATCAACCAATCAGGTATAATGACTTAGGCAGGTTTCTACAACAAGAATAGGTTTCCACAACAAGGACAGGTTTAATCAGATTTTGAGGGATAATGCTCAACACTCAGGTTTTGCTTTGTCCATCTTATTTCACCTAGTATTTTTTTGTATCTCAGTATTTCTTTTTTTTCAATTATTACTATTTTTAATATAATTTTTTATTTATTACAATTTATTTACTTTGTATCCCAGCTATTGCCCCACCCTCATTCCCTCCCAAACCTTCTCTCCCTCTCTCATCTCTTCCCATGTTCCTTCCCCAGTCCACTGAGAGTGGAAGACCTCCTCCCCTTCCATCTGACCCTAGCCTATCAGATCTCATCAAGACTGTCTTTCATAGTCTTCCTCTGTGGCCTGCTCAGGCTGCTCCCCCCACAGGATCAAAGAGCTAGCCACTGAGTTCATGTCAGAGACAGCCCCTGCTCCCCTTATTAGGGAGCCCATTTGGAGACTGAGCTGCCATGGGCTACCTATGTGCAGGGGGTCCAGGTTGTCTCCATGAATGGCCCTTGGTTGTAATATCAGTCTTAGAAAAGACCCCTAGGCCCAGATTTTTTTTTTTTGGTTCTGTTGTTCTCCTTGCAGAGCTAAGTATTTCTTAAAGACTGCATGAAAATAAGTCACACAGAGGATAAGAAATGAGTCTACTTGATAAACAGTGCAAAATCAATGTAGTATAAAATCAAATGACTAAGGTAAAGAAACAGATCACTGATTCAGGACATGAAGATACTTGTACTTTTGTTTTCTAAGAAATTTAGTCTTTGATTGCCCATTATTTTATATTTTGTATTAAATTACTTTAAGAAACATTGAAGAATCTTTTGGCTTATGTTTTGGATGGATTTTTCAACATTCCTTTTGGACTTTATTGCTCAAAAAGAAAAAAAGAAAAAAAAAAACAAGCAACAAAAACTAGTAAGGCCAGTGAGTCTTTCTATGGTGGTTAATTTTATGCCAACTTAACTGCCAGTAGGGTGCCCTCATTTGGCAAAACATCTTAGCTGGGTTTGTCTGCGCGGTATTGTTAATGTGTGAACTTAGCACCTGAATGATAGGCTGAGCAAACAGATTTGTCTTCCCTCATGTCTGGACCTCATCCAGTCGACCGAAGAGCTGAACAGAATGAACTGGCTGAGCAATGGAGAGCTCCTGACTGATGGCTTGATCATTTGTGTTTTCGGGGCGTCAGAGTTGGGCTGATATTTTGGCCTTTTGGGTTTGGAGCATGTCAGCCTCTGTAATAGAACTGAGCCTACAGCTTTTTTGGTTCTCTGTCTTTGGGACTCAGAGTAGAACTGAACACTGGCTCATCTGAGTTTGTAACTACAGACCATGAGAGCCCTGTGCCTCTATGACCTTCTGATTCCATTCCTGGCAGTAAATCTCTTTGCATGTTTAGACATTTCTGGTTCATTTTCTCTGGAAAACCTTGAAAAATAAGGCCTCAAGAGACCACCTCTTATTTCTAGGATTAGATTTTGTTTCTACTAGTATGTGATAATAAACAAAAGATATGATCCCAAAGCAACCCAAGACTCAAGATCATTTTTGTAGATATGCTATACATAAATACTTCTATTTCTTTTCTTCTTTCTCTATGGGGTTTGTCTCATCTTCTGCACTTTATCTATGATATTTAGTTTGATAGCAGAAAAAACATATTTATTAAACTTATATAGGCCTAATTACATGTAGTGTACTCATCTTTCATTTTACCTGCACACATAGACCTCAGAAGATAATTACTAACAAGTCTCTTTTTAAATGGTAAATAACACTGAAAACAGAAAGGGTAAGTAACCTGTATGTTATGCAGGCTTGCTGGTCACAGAATTCAGCATCAGTACTTGAATGCAAATTTGGATTCTGTTTTGAATTAATATGTGATGGAAGAAAAAGAATAAGTTTCATTTAATGTGATAGAGATTGGCTTCAACAACCTAAGTGAAAACATATAAAATGAATGTAGAGAGGAACAGGAAACTAAGTATTGTTGAGAGCCAAGACCATGGAAGCAGGTCATTGAAGGCTTCAGCATTATAACTATCAGACATCAACTTTTTTTTGGGGGGAGGGGTTATTTGTCCTGTCTATTTATTCCCCAGCATCTGTTAATTTTACTCTCTTCATCCTTCTTTTTCCTACCCACCTCCAGTTATTCACAATATAAAGAAATGATAAATGCTTGAGATGATTCATCAACTAATTACTCCAATCCAGTCACTGAGCACTGTCCAGAGATACTGAAATATCACTGTGTGCTTTATAAATGTGTACGGTTATTACATGCCAAATTAAAAATATTTAAAATTTTTATCTAAACACATACAGTAAAACAACCAGTACTTGTCATTTTCAAGTAAATAAAAGCCAAGCTTGAAAGATATGGGGACCTGAGCTGAATGTTATCAGGTAATGATGTAGGATATCTAGTTATAAATACATAGAAATTTTAGAGTTTAAAGTGGACTTAAAATTAGGAGTTTGCCAGCAGACTAGATACAGTTGAAGAAAGAAAAAATAAACTGGAAAATAAATAAAATAGTGTATTCTGAGTACAATACGGAGACAGTATAAACACTGAAACATAAAGAATAAACTAATAATAGTAAATTTTATCTAACATTGTTTCACTGGAGTCTAAAAGGCACAGTGAAAAGGGGCAGAAGCAGCAATACATGAAGGATGTAGGTTTGCACTGGTTACTCATGTCTGCTGATGGCCGCTGCACCCTTTCAGCTCTTCAGGGAAGGACCTTAGTCATCTTTGCTTGCTTTCTCTACACATATTCGCTACACCACAGAAGTGTTTTTGTAAAGAAACAGTATTTTAGACCGGCAAAACTGGCCAGTGACAACCAGGGACCCTATTTCTCTCTCCTACCCTGCCCCGTTCCAGTGTACGGATTACATATACATGCCATTACCCCAACTTTTACATGGATGCTGGGAATCTGAAGTCAGATCTTCGTGCCCTGTGCAGTAGGTGCGTTACTGACTAAAGCATCTCCCGAGGCCCTGATGTGCATTTCTGTCTGACTGACACAGTCTAAGGGGAATTAATCCCTTCTCCTTTTATGAACAAAAGCACCCTCATAAGTTATTCCTGTTCTCTTGGGATTGAGCAATGAGCACAGAAGAGAGAAGCAAGTTCATCAGTGTAAATACACTCAGTTTCATCCGCGCCAGTTCATCTGTCTGGGACATAAAATTATTGGGACACAAAGTGGAAACATAACAGACACAAACTTCTTAGTTTCACACTTTCAATGGTTTTCAGAAAAGCTACGAAAGACTGCCTGTTTATTATTAGGCAGATGAACTTCCTGTGTACTAACTGAGGTTATGTTATTTTCCATGCATTTCAAAGTATTTCAGACGTTTCCAAACCATTCCTCAGATGTTATTTTGTTAGTGTTGCTTGAATGCATAACTTTTAAATGATAAACATTTGGTATTGGCTAAAAAAATATTACGGGGATCTTTGTAAAGAGTTCTGTCAGGAGATAATTTATATACCATAATTTTACTATTTTCAGTGCGTAATTTAATGTTTTAAATTTATTTAAATAATTATATGGTTATCATCACGATTCAAGTTTAGAATAGTCTCATTATGTTCCAAATAAGTGCCACAGTAATTACTTTCTCATATCTTCTTCCTTGCTCTTAGCAACCTCTAATCTATGTTTAGTTCCTATGTATTTGGATATTTCATGTAGATTTCATTGTATAGCATATGGTCTTTTCTGTCTGACAATTTTCATCATGTATTAAGTTTTATCTAGTATTAAGGTTCACTGGTGTCATAAAAATAAATTGAACGGGAAAGTATTGTACAAGATGCTAAATTTCAAGTTATTTCTTTTAAAACTTCCTATTCTTCCCACCCCCAAATGCTAAACATCAGGGAAGGTTTATTTAGATTTTGACATTTCATTCATTTTTATTTTGAACATGTAGTCTTATATGATTATCTAGTAGTGATAAATTTGTTGGTTTATGTCTTATACAAATGCCAATTTTTTATTAAAGTTTTATGATTTAGGGATGTCTGGGAAAAGTTATTTTAGAGGCTTAAGTTTAGGCTTTAGAAATCAAGTAGATACACAATTTCTAAATAATTAAAATGAGCTTTGATTAGAAACATTGTGGGGATTTGTTGGCCAATCTCAGCACATTTCAAAACTATATTCATTTTCAAAGTAAGGTTGTGGCCTTTCATGTAGGGGTGGTGGTCGTAAGAACTGTGGGGAGGATCTGCCATTATAAATTGAGTATTGCAGTGGACATGATGATGCACGCCTTAATCCCAGCACTCAGGAGGCAGAAGTGGGTGGAGAGAGTTCCAAGACAGCCAGTGCTCTTAGACAGAAAAAAAAAAAAACATGTCTCAAAGAAATGATAAATTTAATATTGCTCATTCATGTTGGGACAATACTGCAAGGATTATTATTCACCATCTTGAAGGAAAACAGAAGATTCTGTATGTGTTTTCTGTAAAATACACTACTAAGAATATTCCTAGCTATGGTGTTATAATTGATACCAGTTTTATAAGTTGAAATCTCAACTCATATTCACACACACAAAAATTCAAGTCTTAAGAGGTAAGTAAACTGACTGATTAAGTTCATGGCAGTTCTATTTTTATTCACAGATAATGCCTCTGAGGTAGCAATTACTGCTCCAGGAACTAGTCACCATAGGAACAGCTCTACAGGCCCAACACCTGACTGCTCACCTCCATCTCCCGACACTGCCCTAAAAAATATTGTAAAAGTTATCCGACCCCAGGTAAGTGCCCAGAATGATCTTCTGCACTGTGATGTTTGGTTCTGAACTAATACATGTAAACTATATTTCAATGATGCAGCTATGGTGTACTATCTAATAGATTTTTACATTAAAGAAAGAGACTCTGAATGGGGCTGTTTGCTTCCTATGAAGTTCATAATGGACACTGGGATCTCTATTAGTTCCTGGAAAATGAACTTTGATATTATGAGAAGGATTAAATGAAGCTTAGAGAAATGGATGTTTCACATTTGCCTCTCAGCATTTCAGTAATGATGCCATAGTTGCTGAGCTGCTACTGTGCTCTGAAGCTTTTTGTGGACATGGTGCGTCTATCTTCAGCCTCAGAGAAGCTGATACGGTTCCAACTCCTCATGGCTTCTAATACTGTTGTCTGTTTGATAGCGCACTACTCATTCTCTGCATTGTCCTCTGGTGTTCCCGTTTTGGTAATCTGTCTTTACCTTTTTTCTTTTTTTTTTTTTTCCCATTTCTGTCACTTGTCTGTATGTTTTTTTTTTTTTTCCCTCATCCCCCTTCTCTTTCTGTTGGATTTCCCAGTAGGCGGTTTGCAGGCAAGCTTTAGAAATATCATTGGGACAAGCTGTTCTGTGATATTTCATTGAAAATAGCACTTATAAAGTTGTTTGCATTATATTTTTGCCAACAGATGGACCTAGAACATAAAATTGGTGGTGCTCTCAACCTGGCTTGTTCTGAATGGGCTCCATAAAATCCAAGAGAGGGGGATTTAGGATCCAATCAATGTCTTCCTACATCTCTGAGACACAGAGCATGAATAAACCCTTGAGCCAGTCTGTAGTGCAAGCATGTCTAAGACTGTGTAAGCAACAATTTTTAAATAAATGACGTTCTTTGTTATACCATGCTTTAATTTATGACAGCCCTACCCTCATCAGTAAATAGCATATAAGCTTCACATATCCAGTATAGTGTGTAGTAGGCTTTTGTATAAATTATTTCATTTAAACTTCATTGATTCCCAGGGAATTTGTAGGCTGCTGTTGTAGGTAAACAGACTGGGGTTGTAGAGGGTCAAAACCAGCCATCTGATAGGGAGCTTCTTTGCTTTCTTTTAATAACACAACAACTTTTCACCTGGCCCTACTCTGAGATTAAAATCTTCTCAAGAGAGTGAGTCATCTTTATGTCAGTTGAATTTACAAGTTTAGCATTGTTTAGGCACAGATAACATTTTATAAACCCCCGTATGCAGAGTAAGAGAATGTTCTCAAACGTTTCATCTCAATTTACTTGAAGGGGTGAAGAAGCAAACACCAAACCCAGATTCAGATGGTGAGTGCCATGTTTGTTCTTGCTGAGTCACATTTTCCTTCAAAGCACTTTGGTATTGCTGTGTACTTATTACAGTTCCAGCACTCAAGTAAAAACTATTTGTTTTTATTTACAAATAAAAGATGTTGTCCTGTATGCGTTTTAAAAATCTATTAATAAATTTTAATTGTGTAAATCATCTACTTTAGAATGTCTTGGCCATTCATGAATAAAAAACAGATTCCTCAGAGACACAAAAAGTGAGGAAGAATTCGTCTTCCCCAGGGATGAGCCCCCTAATTACTTACCTAACACCAAGTAATCCACCCTGAAGTGAAGTACATGTTAACAACACTGAGTGGATTCAACAGGTTGTGTAAACACACACACACACACACACAACCTGAGGGGTCTTAACAGGGAATATGGGAGGGCTGAAGGGAGGGAGGGAAAAATGATGTAATTATATTTTAGCTAAAATTAAAGCAAAAACCAAAACAACAACAACAAACCTCTTGATGGGTGTGGTGGCACACACCTTTAATCCCAGCACTTGAGAGGCAGAAGCAGGAGTATCTCAGTGAACTTGAGGCCAGCCTGGTCTACATGATGAGTGAGTTTCAGGCCAGCAAGAACTATATAGTAAGACTTCACCTCAAAAAATATCTCTACATATCTTAGTTCCGGTTAGAGTATTTGATAAACTTTGATGGAAACTAGAGTGAGCAGAAATGTCATCTTGACTCTACTCCTTGTCTCTGCCTATTTTCGTTATGACTCCTGAGCTCTCAACTTTTCAGTCACTGTAGAGACACAGAAGTATAAAACTCATGTGGAAGTAATTATGAAGGAATACTGGGGTAGGTCTGCTCATATCTTTATTTTCTTCATTTTCCTCCTTTTATTGAAAATAGATTCTTTTCTTACACAACATATCCTGATTACACTTTCCCATCCCTCCTCTCCTCCCAGTTCCTCCATACACTCCACCCTCCAGATCTAATCCCTTTCTGTCTCTCATTAGGAAAGAACAGGCTTCTAAGAGATAACAAGCAAACACGACAAAATAAAATAAGATAAAACAAAACCCATGACATCGAGGCTGGACAAGGGAAACCAAGAGAAGGAGAGGAGCCCCAGTAGAAGGCACAAGAGTCAGAGGTTCAGTCATTCACACACTCAGGAGTCCTATAAAAGTACTAGACTAAGAGTTATTTTATGTATGTACGTATGTGAGAGTATGTATGTATGTGTATGTATGCATGCATGCAGAAGACCTGATACAGACCTGTGTAGACTCTGTGTTTTCTACTTCAGTCTCTCTGAGTTTATATGAGCTTTACTGGTTGATTTAGAAAGCCTTGTTCTTGTGGTGTCCTCCATCTCCTCTGGCTCTTACACTCTTTCTGCCTCCCTGAGCTCTGAGGTGAGCTCTGGGAGCTCCCAGTTAGAGCTGTGTGTTCCAAGGTCTTTCTCTGTGTTATGTCTGGCTGTGGGTCTCTGTTCCTATCTGCAGCAGGAGGAAGCTTCTCTGATGATGGCTAAGCAAATCCTGATCTGTAAGTATAGCAGAATATCATTAAGAGTCATTTATGATACCTCTCTCTCTCTCTTGCTCTCTCTTTAGACCAGTAGTGTTTGGTTTCACCATAGGTCTCTGGGCTATCTAGTGTCTGGTACTTGGTCACTCAAGCAGTGTTGGGTATGGCTTCCATCTTGTGGAGTGGACCTTAAGTCAAATCAGACATGTTCTCTGTCACCTTTGCTTAGCATGTCTTGCAGGCAGGACAGATTATAGGTCAAAGGTTTTGTGGCCAGGCTGCTGTTTATGTTTGTCTTTTGGTAGCCTGCAGAATACTTTCAGCACCAACGACGCTAGAACATAGAAGTGACTGCCCCATATTCAGTAAGTTGTATGGGTGTTGTCTTTGGCACCGGGACCTCACTATCAGTTTGTGGAGAGCAACCCATTGTTTTAGCAACAGCCTGGGATGTTTGGGTTTTCTCTGGGACCCCTTGTCCAACAATTCAATTGAAGTCAAAATAGTCCTGGTGCTAGAAGCCTCATTTGGTGACAAGAGATGGCCTGTTGGGCTTCTGTCTCCCTTATTATGAGGGGCCCCACATGGATCACTGTCATCTATTCTAGGAAGGTTCTACTACACTGTGTTTCTCTATCATCCCTCAACTCCCCCTCAATTTATCTGTCAATCCCCAAATTTCCTCCCTTAACTCTGTCTCCCCTGGCCTCCCACCTGATCCCATCCCTCTCCGCACTTGCCCCAGTTCATCTTTAAAATCTTTTTTTCTCTCAGGGAGATGCATGCGTAGCCCTTCAGCTTTGTAACTAGCATCTCTGGATCTATTGATTGTAGATTGGCTGTCGGTTATTTAATGGCTAATATCTGCATATTAGTGAATATATGCCAGTTTATCTTTATGTTTCCAGGCCTGGGTTACCTTACTCAGGATAATTTTTTTCTAGTTTCATCCATTTTCCTGAAGATTTCATGATGTTTTTTTTTTTTTTTTAAACAGCTGAGTAACACTCCATTGTGTAAATGTACCATATTTTCTTTTCCAGTTTCTGGCTGTTATAAATAAAGCAGCACTTAAGAGCATAGATACAGAAATGATCAATAAAATACTGGTAAAGTGAATCCAAGACTGCAACTAAAAGATCATCCACCATGATCAAGCAGGCTTCACTGAAGAGATGCAGGGATGGTTCAACATACAAACATCAATAAAAAATAAATAAGCATTTCCATATAATAAATAAATAATCTGCATATAAACAAACTGAAAGAAAAAAATCACTTCTTTATATGCAGGAATCATTTCTTTATATGCAGGAAAGGCCTTTGACAAAATTTAACACCATTTCATGATAAAAGTCCTAGAGAGAGTAGGGATACAATAGACATACCCGAACATAATAAAGGCAGTTTACAGCAAGCCTGTAGGTAACATCAAATTAAACAGGGGACTGTTAGTTTCAAGAAAGGGTTTGGAGACCAGAGTAAAGGGTTGGAGGATGGGCAGATGGTGGACTCAAATAGTTGTAGTCAGGGATGAAACGTTGTTAAGCTACTGTTCTGAAGAAAAGATAATTATTGGTTAGCTTATATAAGTGCCTATATTTTGGGTACAAGCTTCCTTTAAAGTGCTTGCTGATTTTAGCTTTGTGTCTGGAAATACAAGAAATCTGGTTAGTTTCACTTGTGGATATTCAAACACTTTGCATCCATTTACTAACAAGAACTCTTTTCCAGTTAGAAATCAATGCCGTAGCTCATGTTAGGAAATGGTTCTATCACTGAGTGCGTTCTTAGCACTTAGTAATAAATTAACAACACTACTGAAATAGAGTTCTACTCTTAAAGCTAGAGATGAGAGACCTTTGATTCAGTTTTCGGATAATTCTGGAAGAAACCTATTCCCAAAAGTTGTCTTCTAGCTTCCACAGCACATCATTGCACGTGTGTATCTATACTCACACTTGTACATAACACACACATACACACATATAACCCCCCCCAAATTAAAAACATAAGCTTTAAAAATAAAAGGATCAATATAAACCTTATGGATTTGTACCGCCTAGCTTGTGTGTTCTTTGATGATGAGTAGAATGTGTGACCAGGTGAGCTGGAGGGGAAACTTTACCGTATTCACTGAAAATGGATGCTGCTTGGGTGTCA